ACAGGGCTGTGGCGTGGCTCAGGCAAGGCTGAACTGAGAATGAGGAGACGCCTCAGGGGAAGACAGGCCACAGCTGAGGCCACCTGGAGACTTTCTGGATAGTTTTCCTTAATTAGCATCCTCTGTTGCTCTGAGGGGTCCTTGAACCCCTCCCAAGATCCTGCTCAGGTTTCCTGCATTTTCCACTCGACTCCTTGCTTGTTCTGATTAAATATGGGCTGCCTAGGGCCAGTCCTGCCTGCTAGCAGTTATGAGCTCTGCTGAGGATTTCACTCCTCCTGTAGCCCTAAAGACCATGCTGCTTGTGTCATTCCTTTGAGCCTTTGCCATGCACCCATTTGGGGAAATTGGGGATCTAGGTACAGACCCCAGAACATACCTATGCACTCAGTGTTTTGGGAGACCGAGGCAGGAGAATGCAAAGTTAGAGTCCAGTCTGGATAACTTAGCCATGTAGCAAGACCTTGTCTCAAAATAAAGTAAAAAAGGAGGTGGGGGATAAGGATGTAGTTTAGTGCCAAGGCTTTGGGTTCAGTCCTCAGTCCCTCACAAAAGACAGGTGGGGAGAGAGGGAGAGAGAATGGAACACAACTCCCCAGCCCTTAGATGTGGCTTTGTATGGGGACTTTTTTCTCATGCACACTGTGTGGAAAGTAATGTTCCGGTGGACACTGACCAGCACCCCGCCGAGCCAGGTGGGCAGCACTGGCAGCTGCAGCAGCAGTAAGTTCCATCCAGAGCACGCATTTAGGTTCTGTGGTCTCCTCCCCCAAACCTGTAACCCCAGGCTAACCATGAGGAAACCCCACAAAATACCTGAGGGTCCTCTTCAAACTAAAGGTCATGAACAACAAGGAAAATCTGAGGGACTGTAGTAACAACCCCTAGAGACACCGCAACTGCGTGCGACCTGGAATAGCCAGATAGGACCTGGATCAGAAGCATGATGTTAGGTGGAAGCCAAGGAGAAGTGAGTAAAACCTGGGCTCTCCTCAGTGGCCATGGTGGACCACTGAGGGTGGTCAGCACTGACCATGCCAATGTGAGTGATGTGAGGAGGGGGCACAGTACATAGGGATTCTCCCCAGGGTCACTGTAACTTTTCTATACAGCTAAAACTTACAGAAATAAAATAGTTTAATTTGAAGCACCACTTTGATCATTTCCTTTTTCTTTCTCCTAACTTTATGTCTCCATTATCTTGGTCTCTGCCCCCTGCCTGATCACTGAAGAAAACGAAGGGACCCAGACTAACCTGACCTCTCTAAGAAATGTGGTGACTCCTGCTTGCTGGCTGGACACTGTGTCTGGGCTTCCTGGCACCCTTAGTTCTCAGCTTATCTGCCTTCTGAGACTTCTCTGACGCCTTTATTGGCTGTCACGTGGTTTGAGCTGCAGTGGGCTCCTCACAGCCTGGAGGAGTCCCGTGCATGATTCTCTTGCTATGGAGGAAGCCAAACTTCATATTCCGGTGCCAAGGTCATGCTGCCCTCTGGGTTAGGATGGGGCACCTTCCAGGGGCTGTCACATCTGACTTTTTCACATCTGTGGGAATCCTTGTCATGCCCTGGTTCCTTGTGCCTCTTCAGAACCACTCTCCTTTATGTCTTCTGGTCTATTCTCATCACCTTTCCCTTCTTCATTTCTGTATGCTTGGTAGAATAGGTAGACGGGAACTGGTTATATAATTCCAGTATGTGGGCTGCCTAGAGAGCCCAAACCTGACATTCATAGAACAGGAAGCTGGGAACAAGGCGTTCTGCCCAGGGAAAGTCCCCTGAGTTTCCTAGGCAGACAGATTACTACAATGTCACCTATATGATACCATCTCATAGGGTACCAGACCTTACAGTGGCTCTGTACAAGTTAGTTGGTGCCACCCTCACTAGGCATCTCACCTTTGTAGGCAGAGTCGTGGTGGGAAGATTTAGGGTTGAACTTCAATCCCTAAATATTTCAGGCCCCATGTATTCCCTCAACAAGGCTGCCCTGTGCACTAGACAAACTGCAAACATTCATTGTAACCCTGAAATACACGAAGGGGAATAACCCACTGGTCTGCAGGAAGAATATTTACCATAATCACTTCACATGAAGGTACCTGAGATTGGATGCAAATTTATCTTGGGAGTGCCCCTGGAGAAGTGAGATTAAGATCCAGACTAAGGGGAGTGCTGGGTTAGAATGATTGGTTTATAAGAGACAGTTGCTATTTTTCCAGAAATTTTATGGAATGGTTATTAAATATTAGCCATTAAAATTAAATAATATAGAAAGAACAACTGGGATAGAAGAAAGGAGAAAAAGAAGAAAGGAAAAGATTATATGTATGTTGGTAAACATATAAATGTATGTATGTATATGAATGTAAAATAGATAACTATACTAGCAATCTCTATTAGTTCTTCAGAAAGAATAGTTTGTGCTGCCATTGTTTGACTGATGATTTTTGTGCCTAGATCTTGTAACCTAACAACTAATTCTAAGATAACAATATGCAATATATTAACTAGTGTTAATTTCCTACTGTTTTTTAAAATTCAGTATCATTTCTATCCTTTTTTTGTTTTGCTTTTTAAAATAAAAAGTTAAATGATATAAACTTGCAACTCACATGTACTGATAACAAAGGTAATAAGAATTGAAATTTCAGTGCTTTGTAATTTTTGGCTACATTTTACCTATGCTTCTGAAATTGCTTTCATCTCCTGTTTCTAAGTGGCAGAAATGCTGTGTAGCACAGCATGTCCGTACCTTGCAAGTGGCCATTTGCAGGTATTTACAACTGTTGGGCGCAGGCGCTCAACATACCATACCCCACCCGGGACTAAGGACCACGCCAGCTTCCGCAATGCGCTACGGTCCCTCTTTAAATTAGCCAACCCGTGCGCACCTCGTGCTCACTCCGTATTCGCCCCGTGCCGACTCTGTGGCAACTCCTGATTGGCCACAGCTGGATATAGTAGCCAGAGCCTGCGTCCCATTCCCGCCCTGCTTCCTCGTGGCAGCCTGTGATTGGTCACGGCCAAATATATAAACCAGAGCCCGCATAAATAAAGCAGCAGTTAACTGTCGCCCACAAGAGCGTCTCCTGTCTCATTGGGGGGCTGCGCCGGTCAACAACCATGGGATCTGGCAAATGCTACAAAGCTGATCCTGCATGTGGAGATGTTAAACATTTACCAACCCCTCCCCAAGCCCCAGCTTTGATCCACTGGGATTCAGAGTTTTCAGAGACTCTCTGATAGGGTCATGGGAAGAAGTGTAGATGCAGGTGGGAATACAGGTTTAGCACACAGTTTGGGGAACCAGAGGGAGTGTGGAGTGATAGATAAAAGGTGGAACCTTGAATGCTAAATGTGGGACCCTCAAGGAAGTACAGCATAATAGCTTAAAAACTTGCTTTGAATAAAACCCGGATGCTTTGTTACAGTTCTAGCTACCTGGTGGTTAGTACTTGTGTCTAGATGCCCCCATAGCCTCATGCACTCATAGGTGGGGTTTTATGGGGCTGGCTGGATCTAGGGTATGTGATACCAGGATTAAAGGTGTGAGATACTAAATTAGTTCACTAACTGGATTAGCATAGCTCTAGGTGTGGCTGAGTGGATTCACTGAAGACCGAAGCCCCACCCTGGGTTTGGGTGGCACCACTCAAAAGGCTTGTAGCCTAGTTCGAAAAAAGAGAAAGGCTGGCTGCTGCTGCTGCTGCTGCTGCTTCCTGCTGACCTGCCATGGACTGTTCCTCCTCTTTGGTGCCCCCTTGCCATGCTACCTTGCCGTGGAGCCACCTAAGCACTGAAACCTGTACAAACTTTGGGCTACAATAAACTTTTCCTCTTTTAACTTAGATATCTATTTTTCCTCAGTAATTGGAAAAGTAGCTAAGATACTGCTGAACTCCCTGGCCCCGCCTGCCCTCCTGTTGCACCAGCTGTAATTCACCCAGGGCTCCTAGACATCTCAGCACTTTCCTACATCATCCTGCCTTGGCTTGACCTGTCCTCAGGGGCCCAGATTTCCTCTGCCTCTGGTGCTTCATCCCATCCCCAGGCTGAGCAGGACTGCCCTGGCAGCCACACAGAAGTGGCACCTCCTCCCTCCTTCCCTCCCTCCCTCAGCCCCTGGCCAGCTCCATCATAGCATCTTGTTTCTTTCTTTCATGAATGGCTCCAGAGTGTCTGAGTATTTTCCTGATGGGTTTGGTTCTTTGGAAATTGTTTGTTCCCAGGCCAAAGGCTCTATGGAGCAAGACAGGGCGTGAGTGTCTCACCTGTAAATCCCTGGTGACCAGCACATTGCCTGGCACTGGCAGGCTCTCAGGTCAGGGCTAAGGCCCGACTCCAAGAGGGAGGAGCTGGCCACCCTCAGCCCTGGACCTGCTGAGTCTCAGTCCTGGGGAGGAAGTGGGCAGAGCTCCATCACACTCCAGAAGTCCAGGTTAGGCCGTGTTGCTTCTAGAGCAGAAAGAAGTGCATGCGTGTGTGTGTGTGTGTGTGTGTGTGTGTGTGTGAGGGTCTTTTGCCCCTCTGATGTTGTTAAAGCCCATGTAGGGTCTCAGCAGCCTGAGCTGGGCTGGGCTCGTGAAAGGGGAAGAACGGGAGGGTTACAATGTGGAGAACAGTAAGGACAGTGGCTGGTGCTGCCAGAAGGGCTCATGAGGGCAACCACCTCACACTAGGCCCCGAGTCCCTGCCCCAGGCTCCTCTGTGCTTCTCCCATGTGGTCAAATGAAACACCACACACAGTTTGGACGCCCTTTCCTAGACCTGCTCTGGGCACCTGGGACCTCAGAATCTCTGACCATACATATGTCATGGTTTATGTTTGTGTCTCCCAGGCCTCATGAGTTTGCATTGTTCATATGTGATGGTTCATTGTCTAGTGCTTGAATTGATGGTGTCAGTGCTCCACCCACCTAGGGGTGGAGCCAGGATGTGATGTAATGGCAGGAAGAAGGTGTGTCTTTCTCTTTGCTAGTTCGAATTTGCTGTTTGCAGCCGCCATGAACTGTGGTCCAGCCATGCCCACCTGCCTTGGAGCCAACTGAATGTGGACTGAAACCTCCAAAAAAACTGTAAGAAATAAACCTTTCCTTTTCCAACTTTGGGCTTCAGGTATTTTGTCTCAGCGATGAGTAAAAAGTAACTAAGACACCATAGGTCTTGAGTGACTTCAGGACGCAAACAGGGCTCTCTGCCCAGGTGGGCAGGGAGCTTGGCCAGGAGGACTGGGCTGTCCTCATGGGCCCCTCCCAGTTCGGAAGAATCAGAGAAGGTGGGCTGGAACCCAGAGATGTTAGGGCTCAGCCTGCATGAGGGGAACCACCTGGGCCTACCCCTGCCCCAACCCTGAGCTGCCAAGAGGAATTTGGAGTCAGCCAACTGAAGCTCCCACAAATGGTAGGGGGACTCCTTGGCTTGTTAGCTTCTGTAGTGATTCCCCCAGGCCCGTCACCCAGAGTCTGTTTACTCACAATGCCGCAGGCAACTTACGTGTGAGCAGCAGTGTGGAACCCAGTTTGTGCCTGGAGCAGAATCGTAAGGAAATGGGTGCTGGGTTGGCACCTGCGCTGCTGTCCCTGAGCATTCCTGGAGTGGGACCAGATGCCCTCCCAACCATCTGCATGGCTGGGTGGCAGGAGCTGACCTTTCTCCAGTGGCCCAGGGCGAGGGGTAGTTTGGGGAACAGGTGATAAGAGCTTTGTTCTCCTCTCTCTCTTCTATTTTTGTTGTCTGCCTTCTTTCCCCGTCTCCCCAAGTTCTGACTTTGGGCTGAGGGGCTTGGGAAAGGTAAGAGGGGCCTCAGCAGGGTAGAGATATGCAGAAGGAAAAGGAGGGAATTCCCAGGCTGCCAGATGAGCAGAAAGGGTGGGGCAGTCCTGAGACAGATCGGATTGGAGTTGCCAGCTAGTCAAACAGAAATGGGTTTCTGCTTGCAGGTGCTGAGCAATGGTCGGCAGCCTTGGAGGGAGGCACTTGGATGCCTTGCTTGGCAGCTCTGGACCGGGCACTTGGGAACTGTGAGCTGGTGTGGTGAAGAGCACAGGCATTAGAGTCAGAGGACTGGGGTTGAGTTGCTGGTGTGACCTTGAGCAAATGACCTTGCTTCTGCATCCTGCTTCTCCTGTGACCCCCCGTGCTTCTCTCCGTACTAGTCACAGCCTCCAACACTCTCAAATTATGTTTGTAACAGAGCCCTTCCCAGCCCACTGGTTTGATTTCCTGTCCTTATCATCATCTCTGATCCCAAGAAGTAGGTGCTTTGTTTCCGTTTATAAAAGAAAAGACCAGAAAAGCTTATTTGGAACGAATAAATAAATATGAGTCTGTTTTTTCACTGAGCTTGGCACTAGTAAATAATTTTAAAGCTCATCATGATGAAAAGGATTGTTAGGCAAATAAGACCCCGATGTTAATGGAACTTCTTACTTGGTCAACTGTCACTTTGTGTCCCCTACAAGGCTACCCTAGTATGTGACATCTATCATCAGACTAAGTGCTGGGGTTATCTGCTGCATGTTGATCACACCACCAAAGTGACAACCCAAGGCCCAGATTTGATCATGTCCCTCGTTTAATTAGATACTCCAGTGACTGTCACCATCCAAAGAACTAAACCCACACTTGACTGCCAAAACCATTGCTAATGGGATCCAAAGACCTACTCCTTGCCTCATTGCTGCCTCTCCCTGTCTCTCCTTTACCATGTCTGTGCTGTGCGAGAACAGATTTCACCTTTCTGAGCACATTCTGCCCATCCACGCTTCCAGGCCTCAGAGCTTCTATGCGTTTGCCAAAACACAACACAAATGTACCTCTGCGATGCTTAGGGGTAGACCTGCTCTCCTTAATGCACGCACAGCATTCTGTTGAGTGACGGAAGCATCAGACTACTTTTCTGGCTTGGGAATAAACTGCCAAGACATTGGTCCATGTTCTGCTTTCCTCTGTACCCTCAGCACAATGATTAGCAGGTCATAGAGGATTAATAGATGAAGGAATGCACAGACCTAGTCTCATGGATTTCAAGCTACTTTTCTGAGAAAAGCACTTAGTACATGATTTCTGGAGTCAGCCAGCCTGGGATTCCAGTTCTAATTCTGTTGCTTGCAAACAAATTTAGCCAGGTTGCTTTGTATCTTTTCCTTAGTTGATAAATGGGAATAATAGCGACCTCATAGAGCTGGAGGGGATTAAGTAAAACATGAGGCTATTCAGCAGTGCCAGGGACAACCAGTGAGTGTAACTATGATCACTGGACCAAGGTATCCAGGTTCCTGTGACAGATTCCACTGTGGGGCTCTGCGTAGCTGCAAGACCAGCTCGGAAGAGCAGAGATTCTGTTGGTGCCGGTCCACAGGAGAGGCAGGCCACTGACCCTGGTCCTGTCACTTGGCTCTAACTGCATTTGAAGATTGGGGGAGAGGGAGTCAAATGTCTAGAGAAGTAAGAAAACCAGGTAAGCAGGCAGCACAGTGGTGGGTTTTATTCCTAGTTACATTCCACATGGGCAATTCACCTCTTTCCTCACTGCTTCCCTTGATGACCATCGTTAGTGATTGTTAATAGAGGTAAATGTTGACATTCCCCAGATGAGGTTTGCATTTTACCTGAGTCCTGTATTTCTTGGGCAAGAACCCAAACTAATCAAGCCAGCTTGGAAAAAGCAGCAGATGGAGGCATAATCTGCACCTTTAATTACCATGGAGGCCTTGAAATTGAACACGCAGAGGGAAAATCAATGAATTGATTAATTTTATTTTCCCTTAACCATTTAATCTTTACCTGGACCATATGCACCTCTGTGTAGTATGTATTCTTCTAAATATTTCTAAATATTTGCAAATACAGTTTTTCATCAACTGCTGATTTTATTTTGTGGTTAGGAAGCATTTAGTGACTACGCTAAGGAAAGGTGAAGGTTTAGCCCTTGAGAAGCCAGGATTCGTGATGACCTACCCAAGCAATTTGAGTTGCTGCCTTTAAACTTAAACACGTTGGCCTTGGTGTACCACTTACACTGCCAGGAAAATAAACCAGGTCTAAGGGTCTCCTGTGCTAGCATATTTGCAAGCTTGATTTGGCATGTGTTCTTCATAAAGCTGGTTTCCGAGTCCCTCTGCTCTGGCCCGGGTCAGTGCAGGAGGGCCACTAGCAGTTTCTGGAAGTCACCAGAGGTGTCTGAGCTGACCATGTCTGAGAGGGACTTCTGATACTTCTCTTGGAACTTGGCCTTGATCCCTTGAAGGTCCACCTGTAGGGAGGATGGCGATACGAGGCATGGGATGTTAATACTGTGTTCCCTGTGAACGGCAGGTGCTTCCTAAACTCGCTTATGCTTTCAATCCACCTGTGAGGTAGAACTAGTATTATTTCCACTTTTTTGGATAAGAAAAAGAAAATTAACTTAAGTCCTTCCAAGACAGAAGAATTGTCTGTGTGCATACTCCATTCGAATTTTATTTATGGGAACCAAAACTTGAATATTATATGCTTTTATGTGTTACAAAATAGTATTTTCCCTTTGAGTTTTTACATGATTTGAAAATGAATACTTCTTCTATTACAGGACTGTACAAAAGCAAGTGGTGGGCCCCTGGTAGAAGAAAGTTGTAGACACAGAGGTTTGAGATTAATTTTCACTTGTACCCTGATTGGCAAGGATATTAGTATCCACAAGTTATCAAGCAAAATCAAATCCACAAGTATCAACAAAATTCAAATCAATATCCATTGATAGAACTTAGAATTGGACTTTGAATCCAATTCACTGAAATTACAAAAATCTAAGTGTTAAAGGTAGTATTTTTAAGAAAAATATAGATAAAAGATTGCCCTGCCGAAGATGCTTTATAGCTAATAAGGGAGATAACTCTTACATAGAAAGGATGTGATTCCAAAGTGAACAAAATGAGCCCCATTAAAAGAAACATGGAACTCTCTTCAACCAGGAGAGTCTTTTCTTTTCTCTTTGGGTTAGACCCTACGCTACACCCCAGATCTAGATATCTGGTCTCTCTTCTCCTACTCAGTTAGAGGCTGAACTGAGAGAGAAAATGAGAAAGGCCAAGGTGGAGGAGGGAGGGATTGTTTGAAGTGGATGCTGAACAGAGGAGAGAGGCTGCTGGAGGCAGGCAGAGGGTATCCCCTTGCTGCCCCGCTTGGGGGTCCTCTTGATCTCTGAACTGCCTCCTTGCCCTGGGTGAGGGAGAGTGTAGGACTAGGGCCCCACGACCCTGTCCTACTGCTCTGTGGCTTTGGGGTATTAGGGATCTGGCTAAACAATGTTGACCTGGGTCTGAGCATCCTGAAGAAACTGCCCCCATGTGGAGATGACCAGCACATGTGGTCAGCACTAAAATGGGGAGCATCTTGGAACTAAACATGCCCTGGTCCACGTTGGAGTAGACCCAAAAGTGAGAGAGCCCTCTGGGTAGCTCTGACCTCCCTGGGGCCTTTTGGAGCCTGGGGCTGAAACTTCATTCCCTCAAGAGTCTCTGTGACTTTGGCTGGCAGTTGCATTGCTAAGAGCAGGGCCTGGAGGGAGAAGGGAGGGAGCATGTGAGGAAAGAGCAGAACGCCAGGGGAGAAGCGAGGCTGGCCAAGGGAGCCGGAGGAGAGAGGACCGGACTCAGGGTTAGAGAGGACCAGACTTTGAGACAGAAGAAAACAACGAGTTGTGGGGGAAGAGGAGACAAGCGTGTGTGAGAGGGAGGCAGGGGAGAGATTCCAGGAACAGAAATAAAAGTGAGAGAACCATCTTGATGCAAAGTTATATTTAAAAACAGCATCAGCTGTTAAGTATTTGTCGAAAATGGGTCAGAATTTGGCTTGCTACCCTTCTTCCTTTATTTAACATTTTTTTTTTGTTTTTGAGGGAAGATGCGTGTGGCTTTCAACTGTCCAGTTCCACTTCCTTTTCCCGGGCTTCCAGCAGCAGATGAAGTTCTCCACTACTCCCCTTGCTCTGTGGCCCTGCGTCCCAAAGCCTTAGCTGTGTGCTTTGGCAGCGCCCACAGGCTCCTCATTCCTTTCTTTTACTAAGACACAAATATCCTCCTCTGAAGGGACAAATAGTGGTGTCTAGGGGCTTAAAAATCTCTGTCTTTTAATGCATAAAGCTGCACCTCTGTTCCTGGGAATAAACCATTCATATGACACATACACAATATTTGTGGTGTTAAACCGCTTCCTGTGCGTGAAGCCACGGTGAGCCTAGAAAGGCTTCCTGGGGGCAGTCACAAAAAGAGGTGGAGAAACATTCTGCGAAAAGGACATGTAAAATTTTGCTTCTGTACGTTGAATTAAATAAACACCCCACTCAGGAGAGGGGAGGTCATCTGCTTCTTGTCCCTGTCATGGTGACCTCTGTCAGTGTCTCTGTTTTGTCTCCTTAAGATGGAGCCAGGAGTATCTGTGCTACCTCCAAATGGCTCTGCCAGCTCCCTGTGCACAGCGCCACCAGCTCTCCGGAGCCACAGAAGACAAAAATAGCAGCCAGGATCATTGCTGTATTTGTATAAAAAGAACCAGACTGAGCAGAGCACAGTCTTGAGGACATTCTGGGAAAGCAAGTGCTGCCTGCCCCTCTTCCTGTAAATCGGCCTTTGAAAGAAACTACAAGCTGATGACATCAGTGGTGGACGAAGAGAAATGACTGTCGCCTCTTTGGAGTCCAGGGTGTCTTACCTCAGCCCTGGTGATGATGATTCGGATTAACGTGTCCTCATCAGTTCCCACGCCCTTCATGGCCTTGTACAGTCGGTCAGCAAAGTAGCCCTCGAGGTCTCGGGCGCATCTCACTGCGGGACAAGGAAGGAGAATGTGATGCATTCGTGTTGAATGTAGGGGACACTCCAGGGCCCAGGGCAGCCCAGGGGGTCACTGGGTCACCCTTGGGGCTGCCTGGCTTACAAGGCAGCATCTGAAGGAGCTGACTCCCCACTGTGGAGAAAGGAGACCCGAAAGATGCCCCACGTCAGGACACCTGGGCTCTTCAGCCAGAGCCAGGTGGGAGCCATGGCAGGACATCGGGGGTCTCTGCACCTTCAGTGCCCTCCCATGCTCACAGGATGACTGTTCCTACCTCAGGGACCAGAGGAGGGCACAGGGCCCCGCGGGCACAGCTTGGCTGTGGGCCCTTTAATAGACTTCACCGTGAAGGTTTCCTCCTCTGCTGCACCCCCCTCAGCCTTCCCTCCCCGGCTCTCTTTGCTAATTTGCTCTGCGCAGCTCCTCTCTGACTCTGCTCCATGCTCCTCTCATCAGCTCAGCTAGAGATCCGCGGTGTGTGCTGGGGCTGATGGCTGATTCTGTCCAAAGATCCCTTTTCTCTGTGCTACTTCGGGGCCTTCCCTGCCCACCGGTTTGGCTTTGGCTATGACGTGGAAGTGTAGCTTCTACTTCCTGACTACTAACCAGGTGGTTAGGTCCCTCTCCACCCTGGGGCTGGGTTTTCACCTTGCCTCCTTTCTCCCAGACCCCCGTGTACCACCAGGCCTAGCGCTTAAGAGGAACAAACCATTTACTCTTTAGGTGGTTAACGTTTCTATAGAACATTTGTACTATTTAATGTTAGGGACTAATAATAAATTCAGCCTAAGTGTAAAATGTGCAGACTTTGTGTGGCTTGCCTTGGGGCTCCTGTTTTCGGGATAATTATCTATGTGACTGTTACAAGCAAGGGGGAGGAGTGGTAGTATCCTTTGCTCTCCTGGGACATGTCAGCTTCACAGAGCCCTGTGCGACAGGAACTATATGTCCCAGAGGCAAGACGATGGTGGCCTGAAAATCCTGGGTTCGACCCCCAGTTCCACAAACAATCAAAACTGCAACAAACAGACGCAGGTATCTGATTTCTTTATCCTGAGAACAATCCAAAAGCTCTTGGGTCGTGCTGGTGGCGGGAAGCTTCGTGGGGTGGGACATTTGAAACTCACGAAGTCCCTTGAACCGGAACTACTGATGCCTGCAAAGGCTTCCTCTCCCAGCAGCATGGATGGACGCTGTAACCGCTGTCAGCTAGACTTGTGCACTGGCCCCACCCACACAGGAGGCTTCTGCCTTGACACCGCTGTTTCCCAATAATTCGGGAAGAAACCTTGACTTTTCTACTTAATCTGTGCCTGGGAAGCAACTTCCGTTGTTAGCAGCAGCAGAAGTCCCCCAAAGGTCGGCTGGGGACTACTAGGGAAGGTATGGAAGTGACTCAAGACGAGCCAGTGGGAAGAAAGACGGCCAGCTGTGCTGCACTGTCCCTTGCTCCTCTTGGCCTTTAAAGAGCAGGGGAAGCAAAGTGTGGTGGCGTAGGTCTATAATCCTAGCTACTCAGGAGGCTGAGGCAGGGCGATAGCAAGTTCGAGGCCAGCCTGGGGAACTTAGTGAGACTTTTGCCAAGAGAACAAAGGGTGGGGGTGTCGCTCAGTGGAAGAGCCCCATAATTCTGATCCCCAGTACTATAGCTGGGAAAAAGCAGTAGTTCTTAAACTTCACAGACTACAAGACAATCTCCTCCTGTACTCCATTCCATTCCAGGTTTCTCCGAGGGCAATCTGGAATGGGGCCAGGAAACTGTTGTAACAGGAGACTTGGATTCTGGTCCGGGGACCCCAGCTATGAAGTGGTGCTCCTGGCGGTGGTCATTTAAAGGTCTCAGCCTATCCTTGAGAAGTGAGCTGTAAGTTGGCATCTTTGTGTGTTGAATGGGGCAGGCTGGAGAACGTCTTGCACAAACGGCCACGAAGTCGCATACTTCGTGCAGTTCATCCTCAAGGTCTTCTCACTTTCACTTTGCTAGCACTGAGAACAGCAACTCGGGGCTCCCAGTGGAGGAACTGGCCTCCCTGTCCTCTGTACATGCCTTACTCTGCTTGTTGTCCCTACTGTGGCCTCACTGCGGTGCGCATCTTCTGTGGGCATTAAGCTCCTCAAGAGCAGAGCTGGGTCTTTTTGCCTCTGACCCTGGTACCTAGCACAGCACCTGGGCTTAAGAAGGTACCAAGTTAATGCTGAGTCACGGAGGGGTTGCACTGATGCCTTCTGACTGCACACTGGGATTTTCCGCTCTCCACGCTGCAAGTAGACAACATTTGGAGCCTCAGAATTAGACATGAGTAGAACCCACTGTCTGCTTAACTGGCCCTCCTTGAGGGCCCCAAAGGCAGTCACCCACGCTAGAGCTCCAGGATGTACAATATCCCGGTACACATCCTGTGAAGCTGAATGCAGTATGAGCATGGAAGAAAAAAATGTCCGTTGGCATTGGGGGGGAAAAAAAGAACCACACCTGGAACAGAGCTTGGCAACTTGAGTGCATTTTTTAACTTCCAGGGCTGCTTATTTGGGTTCTTCCTCTTCGGGGATGAGTTCCTCCAATTCTTGTGTCACTTGGGAAGGTGCCCTGGACTCTTCCCTCTAGCACTGTGGACAATGGACAATGCCTTCCTTCCAGAGCTTGCAGAAAAAAAAAAAGAAGCCTGCCAAACATGGTCTCATGCCCATCTCTGTTATTTCCTGCCTCTGGGCAACAACCAGAAAGAAGGTTCTGGTCAAAGTATGCCACGGTCAAAACTTTGCCTCCTTCCTCTCTCTTTCTAAATAGACCTAATTTTTTTTGCAAATGTTTAAAGGGAATCAAGTTGAAGAGGAAACCCTGCAGCCATTGGACAGACTTATAGACAGACCTTAAATGTGAGCACTGCTCTGTGTGTGTCAGATGAACCCTAAACTGTTGCTCCAGGTGAGGTACAAGTCCTGGAGGACTGACAGGTGCTGCAGAGACCCCTAGTCTTAGCAGTATAGGGGTACAGTGGCCCGTGATGCCCGCCTTGAAATTGTGACGCTTATTCTAAGGGTTGTTTGCTGACTGCTCATAGCTGGATCCCTCCCCAGGAATCGCCCTCCAAGTGACAGAGCTGACTTGCCCAAGGTAGCAGATGCTCCTGGGTGTAGCTAGCTGCCATGCCTGACTGATGCGGGTATGGAGACTTGGCTCCCCTGCTCCACAGGGCGTCCCAGCATCAGAGATCCCTTGGGATGGGAGCTGTATTGTGTTCGCTTTGTCCTCTGCCTCTGATGAGCTGCTCCCACCCGATTGTCTGAAATCCTCCTGCCCAGGGCCTCAGTCTCCAAACACAGTTTCGGGAACCCAGCCCAGGACAGGGACTCTCCTAATTTTGCTTTACCAAGAGTTAAGTAGGCCTTCTGCAAGTCTCCTGACGTTTCTTCTTCAATGGCTTTTTCCATGTCTTTCCCAATGAGCTGCAGAGACAAGCAAAGTCCAGCTATTATTTCTGGATTGGTTTTAGCACTCTTGGGATTGGTTTCTTTTAACAAGTGCCAAACTCAGACTCAGTGCCGCTGTTATAAGGAATTCCTGCCTCTTGCCTTGTGGAGGGGTGCCCTTCTCAGAGAGGGGCGCTCACTGCTGAGAGGTCAGTCTAGCACTGACTTCTAATGGACTTGACCCCAGCCAGTGCCATTCCCTTCTTCTCAAATTAAGGAGTGGAGGAATAATGAAATTTACTGCAATAATAATCCTTTATGTTATATAAAGCACTGTAATTCTCAATGTGTTTTTCATCTTTGCTGGGCGCAAGTTCCCAGGAGGCTGACCTGCATCTCCCTGGCCTCCCTCACCTTGGGACTGTCACTTAGCATGGAGGGGTGATAAGTAGTGGCTGTGAGATTCGTGATGGGAGCCTGACCTAATGCCCCTCACTAGTGGGCTGCACGGGCCGGGAGCCAGAGGCTGACTACAGCCGAAGGCTGCTTTCCCTCTTCTGGGGTGATCGCAGATGGCCTTACATTTCCACTGGCTCACATGGCGCTCTGCACAGCATTACATATGAGCTTTCTTTCCAAATATTTACAGAAGCTAGAGTTAGAGTAAACCATCTCTCTTTAACACAAATAGTGACTAGGCCAAGCTCAGGGCAGGCAAAGAAAGAGAAAGGAAGGTGCTTTGCTGGTCTGAGCACTTTGTCTCTTTCTAGAACTTGTCTCTCATGAATATGTCACGATTGGTCCTATAGATTATATTGGACCCTTGAATGCAGCCTAATGGTTATGTGGGTTTTTTTCTGTTTATTATGAAACCACAGGTAAACAAAGCACCCCGGTGAGGCAGGGAAGGTGTGGGGGCCGTGTGGGGTGGGTTTGAACGCAGCAAAGCTCCTAGTTGCACTCCCAGCCATGGCTTGCCTATCTGGATGTCTCTGTGCTGGCGATGGAAACCAGACTCAGAGGGGAAGCGGCCTTAATCCTGCCCTTTCTGGGTGTGATGTTGGAGGTGGCATTTTGGAAGGGGTGGGCATCACTTCCCCAGACCCAGGGCTCTTGTTCTGTAGTCTGAGCTTTCATTTCAAGACTTCATTTTGTTTATTTAAGTCTGCACTTACTAAAAACTTATCACATTAAACCATTTACTGTTTCTATTACTAATACAAACAGTATTGGGGCTGAATAGTGTTTTTTTTTTTCCTTCAGTTTTTTGTAGACTCAGCCTGTAAGACAGATGAAAGCAGACAGGCAGAGCTGTTCCGCAGTGGTGGCCGCAGAAGGCCACCCCTTACCCTGGCCCCAGGCACCTATGCCATATTCTACCCGCCAGAAGTGCTTCCTTGAGCAACTCCAGGAGGTGTACTTCACACAAGCCTTGAGGCCACGTGGCCTCCTGTTTTCTTCCCGCTTTCTCCCCATCCTAGTAACTACTGAGGCATCTCCATATCTCCATGAACTCCACGGAACTCTGGGAACAACAGACTGACCTGAGCTATTGGCTCTGCAGCTTTTCACTCCAGTCGCTGGAACATCTAATTCTTAGGTGACTATTTGGATGGAACAAAGCTTTCCGATCTCAGAACAAAAACACAGTAGGAGGTAGATTGCAAACCATTACACAAGCCGTGGAAGCCTTATGGCTTGGGAGGTTATCGGGGAAATAAAGGAGATCCTATTAGAATAGGAGAATATAACATAAAGTCAAGGATGGGGACTGAGAATTCTCATTTTAACAGGGCCCAAGTAATTTTTCTTTCTTTTTAAATCAGCTGCCCCAAGTTGACAGAATGCTAACAACAGAGCCCTCTGCTCTCAACCTCTGATAACAGAAGCCTAAGAGCCAGAGCAGATCTTGCTTGTCTGGTGGAATTTGGGACTGTGATCATCTGCACCATGCAGCAGTATAGGGAGGCCCTGTTGCTTAGGCTGGGATTGTTGAGATCATCAGAAATTACACCTCACACTTACAGCGCAAATAATGGGCAAAATCGTGAATTTGGTGTCAAAAATTAAAATTCATCTTGATGCTAAGATGACCTACTATATAATATACTGCAGTGATCTCACACTAGCATTTTTGTACTTTTGGACAGAAACCATCAGCAATTTACAGAACCTGGGGCCCTAAGAGCATGATAAACTCTTAAAAATTTAATAAAGATTACAATGAACAACGTTGGAGCCAGGTTTTTGGAATAGAGCAGTATTTGTAGCATTTGAGATCTTGCTCTGGTTACTGCTGCTTGACCAATGTTTACTGAGTGCTTACTTCTATTAATTCATTCAGTTCTTATAATCCTATTTGACAGCTGGGAAACAGAGGCAAAGAACCCTTAATAACTTGCCTGAGGCCACGCCTCTAGTAACCTAAGGAAGACTTTCTAAATTTCAACATGCATCAGAACCACCTGGGAGACTTGCTAAGACTTACACATGGTGAGACCTGACCACAGGGAATCTGATTTAGTAGGTCAGGTGGGAGCTGAATTTTCATTAATAGTTTCTTAAGTGATTCCAGTTTCAGGATTAACTGTAAGATATATTGGTTTACAGTGTCCTTGCGGGTACGTGGCTACTAGGTCACACAAATGCCATACAGAAACATGCGCACACTGCTGTGTGTTTCCATAGCGATCACCAATGACAGCCCTATTCAGAGACTGTAACTGGGGTTCCTGTCATGTGGGAAAAGGACCGGGTCTGGGGGAATCCTCAAGCGCAGAGGCCAGGGGATGCCAGCAAAGGCTGCTGCTTTTGATCAGGACTCATGGTTTGAAAGCAGAGGGCCCTTGCACCTTGCATACACGAGTGGTAAAATTACAAAGCTCTGTTGTCTTTTCATCTGCTGGCAACACATAGAAAAGGCCATTCAGGGTGAGGAGCGGCCGGCTCCGGCAGAGGCAGCAGCGCAGGCCAGGGAGTCCCGGAATTCTCATCCACTTTCTGCTACACACTAGCTGTGTGGTCCTGATAAGTCAGTGGAGGCTCCTTGCGGGCAGACCTGCCTCGCCCAGTGGTTGTGGGCCACAGTGATTGTTCAGCCTACGTGACAGTCATGCTACTGGAAAAGCTAAACGGCACACAGGGCGTAGGTGCACTTTGAGTGGGTAAAAGCATTGTACAAAAGTGACATTGGAGGAAAAAAAGAAAGGAAAAAGAAAGAAAGCAAAGAAGCAAAGATCATTTGATACTCCACTAATGGCTTTTTGCAAATTAAGATTTCTTTTCAGGGGAGGAGTCAGCACTAAGTATCTTGAAACAGTTCACTGGCTTTGCTGGCTGAGATTAAAAACATTTATGCAGTCTTTTCAGAAACCTGTCTCTGAAGGATAGCATGCTGGTCCCGAGAGTGTAGGCACTGCTAGCCCGGCTGTAAACCGGCTAATAAAATTGAGAGCAGACACTGGTGTATTTATCAGATTCTTTTCTGGAGCTTTCTCTTCACTTTGCATGTAACTCTGTGCACATCTGCTGGCACTCTCCTAGCCTCTGCTTCACAAAAGAAGATGGCACTTGGGTCCCTTCTTCAGCGCCAGTGCTTTGTTTCTGCGCATGACATCTCCACTTTCCCAGTCTCTGCCTGGCCACTGGCACCATACCTGTGGCTGGCTTTTCTCCACAACAGGGCTGTTCTGAGCACTGTAGGGTTCTGGCAGCGTCCTGGGCCTCAGCCCACCCTGAGAACCACCGTCTAAAGGACCTGGGTCTGCACCCCAGCCCTGGGCTTCTCCGGGAAGCCAGTCTCACAGGGAGCCCTTGGGCTTGGCGCTGTACTTACGAGCTGATAGGCCAGAAAGGTGGCGCGTAACTGCTTGTAGCTCCTTTTGGCCAGGACTTCATTGAAGGCGAGCTCGTCAGTGCCCCAGCGGCCTTCTCCTGCCTGAGGGTAAAAGGGCAACAGCGTGAAAGGGACTGTGTGAGAACACTGAGTGGACAGCACTCTGAACAGAAGTCTGAAGGGTTGACCAGCTGTCCGCACTCCTGACACACAAGGAGACTCACATGTTTACTTAGGTTATTTATCCTCATGCTCATCCTAGAACGGATCTGAGGTGGTTAAGGGGACAGTTCTTTACATATGACCTCAACAGATGCGTATAAGCATGCATTTATATCTTAAAGACCACACTCTCTCTCAAGTAAGTCCCTCTCTCAAGTCTCTCTCAAGTAAGTCTCGGCTGCATAAAACAAATGTTTGTTGAAAACAGTGCTAATACATTAACAAACAAAAGGCTGTGGAGCCTGGCACGTCTGCACACTTACATCATACAGCTCTTTGGCGTCCTGACCGGCCAGCTCCTGGTCCACTTCGTCCCCTTCATCACGGTCAGCCTAGAACAGTGACACATTGTTCCTGACTCAGTTCTTGCTTGACCACAGAAAACAGAGAGAGGAGGCCTGGGTACCGGGGTGACCTTAGAGGGGAGGCCTCTGGAGGGGCTCTCAGCTCAGCGGGGTGAGGCGGCCGGACCTGCTCTTTGCTGCCATCTTTTGGGCGCAGAGGATACACAGCGAGGCTTCTGTGAGGACACCTTCCCCTTCTTCCCTGCCCTTCCTTTCCCTTTCCTCCCTCCCGCCACTGCTCCTTGGCCCCCTCGGGCCCTTCCCCTCTTGCCCCTTCCTGTCCCCCCATCTTTCGCTCCCCTGCTGGAAACATGACCTCCATTTCCAGGCTTTTAACGTTCTTTTTTATTTTGAAACAGAGTCTCCCTGAGGTGCTAAATTGCATGAACTGGGCTCAGATTTGCAATCTTCCTGACTCAGCCTCCGGGAGTCCTTTTTTTATTGCAGTCATTCACACTGACCTCAGAGCTGGCTGACAGCACCTAGGATGCTGCCTAGAGTTAGTCCTTTGGACCACAAATAATCTTCCTTTCAAAATATCCAATCTTACCACTCAGAGTCCCTGTACCAAAGAACTCTGAGCCCTGAGTGGCAGGCAGAATTCTAAGATGACTCCCAGGGACACACTGGCTTTCTAAATGAGTATGATGAGCTCATGTTAGATCAGACAAGACCTGCAGTTGAAACGTAGGTCTCTAAGCAATTGAGTGAATCAAAAGGGAGATGACTTGGGGTGGAGAGATCTTAAAGGTCAGAGATAGGAGAAGTGAGAGAGATGAGCTGCTGCTGGCCTGGAGGAGGCCATTTATAGTATATTATAATATACTATATTATACATACTATAATACTATGTTATATATAGTATATATTAATATATACTAATATAGTAATATATAGTATATAGTAATATAAAATATATAATAAAATATAATATATATTTTATACTATATTATATTATACTATAGTATATATTATATTATATTACATTATACTATAGGCATGTGAAGCAGACCCAACCCAGCACTCGGGAGACTGAGGCAGGAGGATCACTATGAGTTTAAGGCCTGCATAGTGAGTTTAAGACCGGCCAGAACTACATAACTACCACCCTGATCCCCCCCTGCTGTTGTCCCAAAGTGGGTCTAAGATAGGTAACCCAGAGCATGTGAAAAGGCACACAGGGGCCACATGGCAGAAAGCAGCAATGGTCTCCGGCAGCTGGCGGTGGTCTCTGGCTGGCAAGGAAACAAGGCCACCAGGAGAGGAATTCTCTCGGGAAACAGCAGCATGGGCCGGTTTCAGCCAGGAGAGACCCTCCCCGAGAGCTCTGCTCGTTCATACCAGCTCTCCTGACCACAGGCACTGTGGTCACAGGGAACTGCGATCTTGGGCTGTACGTCTGTGGCATTTTTAAGGCAGCAGTAAGAGAACCTTTCATGCTGCAGGTAAGGTCCACTCACTCTGTCCACAGTGGGAGAGAAGATGGTCCATGAAGCTGGCATATCCAAAAGATGGGCCATGAAGATGCCGTCTGATGAGGCCCAGGGCTGCATCCCAGCAGGCCAGCTCTGGAAGCCCTGTACCCTGGGAGTTCCTGGCACTGGTTCCTACAGGTCTAGACTTGGGGTGAGTGCTGGAAGGAGGGGCCAATTCGTGCCTTTGGGAAGGGCCCCTCTCCGGGTCAGAAGGCCTGAATCTTGCTGCTGGGCTGTGTCTCCCTGGCCATGTGTTGGCCGAGTTACCCACCTCTTGAGGCAGAATCTCTTTGTTGGCCAGTCAGAGTGGCTTTGCTTACAGAGCAAATTCATTAACTGGGGAAAGCTGGGAAGGACTGGGCAGGTGGTTATCAGAGGAGAAACCCCCACCGGCCAGCTTCCCACTCCTCAGCAGCACACGTTGTACAAGGACAAAGTGTTGGTCTCCACTGCCTTTCCCACCACATACCGTGTTGCCAAGGATGGCTTTCCAAGATCACACAATACACAGCACCTGGGTGCCCTTACCTGCAGCAGGGACACCAGAATCTTTTTCAGGTTCCCACTCGTGTCACCTTTGACTTCTGATTCAAGGCTCTTGTCGAATACTTTTGAGTTAGAAAAAAGGAGAGGAGAAAGCAAGATGGTTCAGTTCCCGGGAGTGTTTTGAAGGAACATTCTTTCTCCCAAGACACTGTAAAAGATCACTTACGCCTCTGGTAGTCTTCCTTGATGGCACTGATTTCCTAGAAAGGCGACAAAAACACATCAGTATCCAAGGGGAGGAGGACCTATGAAGCAAGGGAGAATGCCGAGGTGTCCAGACAGAGGCCGTCTTGATGATGGACTCCTAGGATGGCCATTCCCAGGCTGCAGCCAGTCCCTGGGGCATGAAGGGACCCTTTCTATGCCAGCTTTTCAGGCACATGGTGGACATGTGCACACCATCTCCTTAGATATCAAGTGAATCAGCCTAGGTGTCCATCAGTGGAAAAAAGATGAAAGAAAATGTAATGCTTCAGAATCAGGGTGTGGCTTCAGATTTCCCTCCGTGTCTACTCCAGCTCCTGCTGGAGTTTCTTCCTGGAAAGCCTCAGAATGTTGGGCTTCTTTGGCATTTTCCTTGCTGGGCCTCCCTGGATGGGCATCATGGATGGGCATGGAGAGGGGAGGGGCTCCTAGTTTGGATTTGTGCACCCTCTTTACTCCTGACTGATTCTTTGGCCCTCCTGGATTCTGGAATCAAAGACAAATTAGCTCCTGCTGGGGTCTTACGAAACTCTCCCTTCTGTTCCCAGAAGGGTGGCACGTGCCCAAGGGGACGGGGGGAGGTGGGCCAAAGGAAACCTACAGAATCCCCTGGGTTGGTGCTGGCAGCTGCTGGGATGTTTGCTGAGACCCTGTACACCACCACCTTCCTGATTAGTTAGGGCCTTTCATGTGTTTTATGCTAGATAACAGCTACGGACCAGGCAGTGACACAAACATGGGATACTGATTGCCTTACTTGTGCCAGGAGACCTAAATGTCAGGATGGGAGAAGTAAAATGGAACCATGTCTCCTACACAGAAAAGTGTGTGTCTGTTTTTTGGGAAAAAACCCAAAAAACAAAAAACTGAGTTGTATAGCCCTTCTGGAGGTATCTATCCAGAGGCAGCAATCCTAGGACTGCAGTTGGGAATTTGGGGTGATATCCCTCCTGCATTGCATCTCTGCCCAGAATCTTGCTTAGCCAGGAACAGAACTAGGGGAGTGGCTTTGCTCCAGGGGCTGCAGCCATCCGTGATGGGCGTATGGACCCTCCTGGGGGGGGTCAGGACCTGGGCTCACTCTTGCGGAACTGACCTTGTTGTTTCTTGTGCATAAGACCTCGATGAGCACGGCTTCATCTGTACCCAAGCCCTTCATAGCCTTCTGTAGCTGACGGGCAGCGTACTCGCTGGGACGGTCCAGGAGGGCCAAGGCTGTCTTCTCGAAATTTCCACTCAGCTCACTCTTGAGCACCTCCTCCAGGTTCTGTGGGAAGCACCGAGATCTGACTGGGAATGGCCCAGGAGGAGAAGGACAGGTGTCCGTCTGCCCTGCTGCATAGGCTCAAGATGGGCAGGACACCTGCCCAGAGACATGTGGAGTGGTCCTGATAAGAGTGACCTGCTCATCAGGACAGAGGTCACTGTGATTGTCCATCTCCTCCCCGCAGGCTAGCAGAGAAGCAGAGAGATTTCCTTCCTGGGGCTGAAGACCCTGAAGGAGAATCACAGTGACAATAGCACTTGTAGAATAGTTCAGAGCTCAGAGAGCTTTTCTCAGTGGCTCCTCAAAATAGCCTGGGAAGTGGCAGGAGAGCTACTGGCATTATTTCTGTGTATGAACCTCAAGATGAAGGATTTGTCCTCAAGCATTCAGCTAGCAAAGACTGAAACATAGCTGTGACTCTCTAAGTGGGTCTGATAATTTGCCATCCGAATTCGGTTGGTTTTGAGGTGAAAGGGGCCACTATTAAGAGTGGTGTGTGTGGGTGGTAAATGAAATCAGGGGCTTTCCTGCTCAAACGGACACACAATCAGTGGGTTATCTCCCTAACTCCTCACAGGGAGCCCGCGAGGAGGAACTCCAGCAGGAAGAAGGCCGGGAACCTTCCCGTGGGCCCCGTTCTCACAGCTCCCATCTTTGTTCATCCGCAGGGTACCCTCTCTTCACAGGCCAGCGGTCTGCTCTCTTTTCCTGGCCCCTTTCAAGAGCTGCCTCTGTCCAGAAGGGAAGCCAACCTTGACTAACATCACCAGTGTCCTGCCTTTGGGGAAGGGCCCTCCGCAGAGTGCCAGCCCAAGGTGGGCCAGCCTGGGCCTTGGAGCCATAGTTACAGTTGGGCTGGGGCAGCTCAGAGCTCTGGAGCTGCTCAGAGCCAGCCACGCTGACTAAAAGCATAGCCACAGAAGCATTGCCACCTTAGAAAACTTAATTTCTCCACAGTCAGTTTTCCTACCTAAAAATGAAAAGAATAGTAAGAGCTACAGGGTGGTTGGGAGACTTAAATGACAGAATCTGCGGAAACACCGAGCAGGTGCCTGATTCATTTGAAATGCTCTGTAAGTGTTAACTATTATGTATATTATGGGGCAATTTTAACATTGTTATTCCACAATGAAAGGAATTTTCCAAAAGGAGGCAAATCGGCTGTGTCTCAGGTGAGCCTCTCTGAGTGCTGAGGCTGGCAGCTGATTCTGTGCGAGGCCCTGGGTCTGCTGCCTCAGGAGCCGTCTCTGTCTGCGATGCACCCAGAGAGGCAGAGTGAAGGTTGTTCTTCCAGGTCGGGTGGGAATTATGTGGGCCCACAGGGAAGAGGAATCCTGGATGCCTGCTCTAATAAGCCAAAATCATGAAAAGAAGCCTTGTGTGTTTAATTCTGCTGGGCCAGAAAAGTGGGCTTAGGATAGCTGGGCCCCAGCCGGGCTCTGGGGCTGACCCCCGTGCTGCCTGGGGATGGTTGTTCTCTCAGGGAGTCCGGCTCTGCAGACACAGAACTCAGGCTTGATCTCCTCTGACAGCCTTCACTGTGTTGTGCATCTCTGAGTGTTCTCAGCTCCGAAACACAGCTGAGAACAGGACAGAGAGCAAATGACTGCCAGGGAAGGCATCGCAGAGCTTTGTGCCGCAGAGTGCCCGCTGCATTCTTGGCAAACTGCCCTAGGCCTTTGTTAACTCAGATCTCAGAACGCAGCTGCTTTGGACCCTCCACGCTGTTAGAGATGCAGTCCAGGGCTGCCAGAGTTAGGTGCGGACAAGGCTGAGAGTTCGAGATCGTCCAGTTCAATTAGATGCATTTGAGCCAGAGACTCACTGATCTTTATAAAAACAACATTGACAACCCTGATTGTGAAGTGAGAGGAAAACTATGCAGTGTGGCCATCTGGGCCAGTTAGTGTAAATAAACAGCTCTGCTCATGCCACTAGGTCCCGTGGGAATGGCCTTCCTTTCCCTCCCGTCCCTTCTTTCTTCCCCTCACCCCTTTTCTTTCTGTGATACTGGGGGTTGAATGTAGGGCTTTCACACCGTTCTTCTGTGGTCTTTTTCTTTTGTTGTTTTTAATTTTGAATCAGGGTCTTGCCAAGTCACTAAATTGCCCAGACTGTGCTCAGCTTGGGATTCTCCTGCTTCAGCCTCCCAGAGTTCTGGGATGAGAGATGTGCTCCTCCATGCCTCCCTCTCCCTTGCCCTGCTCCTCTCCCTTTCTCCTGTGTGTGTGACTTCACATAAATCATTTAAATGTATGAACTCTACCTTTTCTACATGCACAATGGAAGCTATCACACCTGTCAGAACACCCCTTGATTGGTGGTAATGCTGACATATTCTCCCAGGGACTCCAGTAGGAGGTAAGTTCCTCTCCTTATATTATAACTGAGAATAAAGCCAAAGAGATTTTTTCCTAGCTTATATCTAGATGTCCCCCTTAGAGCCTCAGAGACCCTCAGGTGGGGCTTTTGGGAGTGGCCAGATCATGGGCAGGAAAAAAGGATCAGTCCACTGATGGGCTTTATCACAATTCTGAGTGTGGATGCTGAAGGCCCTGACGAGTGTGGATGCTGAAGGCCCTGAGCATGGGTGGAACCCACCAATAGGCTTGTAGCCTGGATGGAATAAAAGAGAAAGGGAGTGCTTGCCCTGACATGGACTGTTCTTTATCTGCCATACTGTACTACTTTGGCCAGCGATGGACTGAAACCTCTACAAACTGTGAGCCAAATAAACCTTTCCTCCTTTAACTTGTGGTATCAGGCATTGTGTCACAGCAACAAGAAAGAAAGACAAATTTCAAGCAGGAACCCATCTTTCTCTCTATATATGTATCTACTGATAGTGACTGAGACTTAAGAGGTTTTATAAATATGGATGAGAATTCAGCACAAAGATTGATATTCACTTTGCATAATGATAATTCTAGTGGCATTATGAAAAGGTTGTGTTCATTATTTATTAATAAGGAAACAAGAAAGCCTTTAATGTGTACTTAAAGATTTCTATATATAACAGCATCATCAACCATAAAAAGAATAAAAAAGGAGGAAAAAATGTAAAGAAAGAAGCATTGATGCTTTAGGAAATGGTATTTTTTTTCTTTTTAAGTTTTTGGCAACATTAACCTACAAAGAATATTTCACTTTGAGGATGTTGGGCAAATGAAAAATTCCTATATAAAAACCCACCAGGAGAAACTGATTTTTCATGGCACTGGTCCCTCCACAAGTTATGTGGAATTAGTCTAAACTGAGTGGAAAAAATGACCAACTATTTAACAGAAAAATGAAATCAACTTAAAAAATAATGAGCTAGAGTATTGACCTGGCAGGCTGTTAAATCACCAAGGCAATTTCAACTTTCCTAAAGTTAATTAAATGTTTTAAACGGTTATTTCTGTTTCCCTCCTGGGCTCTCCAGATGCCCCCCTGCCTGGGCAGCCCAGGGTCCAGCACTGCCAGGCCCGCAGTCACCTTGCCATACTTTGTCTTGTACTTCTGCTTGATCTGTTGCCTCTCATCTGACGTCCTGCTTGACAGGATTTCGATGATGGCTGCTTCGTCAGTTCCTAAAAGAAGGGAGGAAAGCACATCAGAGGGAACAAGAGGCACAATGGATGCCTATTTAGTCAAGTCTGGGGAAGCCACAGCTCACAACTAAGGGCTGTCAGAGGCTTAAGGGGCACTGAACGGGCCTTTAACTTTACTGTGTCACGCTGAAAACACAAGAAAACTGTTCCTGTCCCTCTCTTAGACAAATATTCACACCACACTGTAGGTAAAGTTCAAGCAGCGTTGTTCAGTGGAAACAACCCCCAGGTTCATCGAGGCGCACATGGATTAACAACGTATGATATATTCTTACAGTAGAATATTACTTGTCCAGAAAAATGAAATATTGATAAATATGGATAAACCTTGAAAACATGCTAAGTTAAAAAAAGACCAATCATACAAGATCACACATTACATGACTCCATTTATAGGCAAGCCCAAAGCAGAGAAATCCATTGAGACAGAGTGTAGATTAGTGGCTTGGGATGGGGTGGGGTCAGGTAGGGGGGCAGCTAAAGGATACAGTGCTTCTTTTGAGGTAATGAAAATTTCTAAAACTGACATCTGTGATGTCCTTGCATATCTACTGCACATATTAAAAACCCTTGCATTAGGTATGGTCTTCCCCCTTGGCCCCTGGTACTTGCAGCCGGGGGAAGAGGTTAAGATACAGGTCTCAGTTGCCACAACACTGCTCCCACCAATAATGTGATGGTCCCAGGAGAGAGTCCAAACCAGGCCCCTGAAGGGCAACTGCCCTTTGGGCCTCCATTACACCTGTGAATTATGCCCTCTCTACAAAGATTTTTCTTTATTTCTGGAGCTCAAAATAATATGCTCATTGTACCATTTCTCTTTCAGTGCTGTGGACTGAACACAGGACTTTCACACACAACTACATCCCCAGCCAGTTTTAAACTTTTGTTTTGAGACAGGATCTTGCTGAGTTGCTGGGTTGCCCAGGATGGGCTCAAATGTACTATCCTGCCTCAGCCTCCCAGAGTGCTGGGATGACCAGCATATGCCAGCACGTCGAGCTTCGCTGCAGTGATGTATCGGAGACCCAGAACAATAATGAATAACAGAATAGGAGGCATCCTTGAAGGTGGGAACAGGAAGAGAAAGGTGCCCCTGGAGTGGGGATCGCGGGAGTGAGAGCTTTAAACCATCAAGCCCCAACTCCACCTTCATCAGCCAGGAATCGGTCACGGCACCACTCCCACTGACTGCAGGACATTGGGCGAGGTATTTTCCTGCCCTCCCCAAGCCCCAGCTTCCCCACTTGCGAGGTGGAGTGATGCCAGGCCATGCGGGAGAAGCAGCGACTCCAGGAGGGACCAGTAGTGGCCAGGCCATGCTGCTTCTGAGCTCCGGACACTGGGCGCAAACACCCGAGGCGCTGCGGGCTCACATTCACTCAAGGCCTGTGCCCAGGCCGCCTGCAGGAGTCGCTCCCTAGTGACGGCTTGCGAGGAGTCCAGAGCCCAGCACAGGCTCAGCAACTGTGGAGGCCACTGGGGCCAGCAGTCAGTCACAGGCCGGAAGCGGAAAGGGCTGCACCCGGAGCCTGCCCTCTGTTCCTGCGGATCCTTGAGCCACCTTCCCTTCCGCATTTGCTCTGCCTGGGGTCCTTTGCTTTCTCTTGTCACCTCCCTCTCTCTCCTTCCCCTGTCACCTGCTTTCTACTGTTTCCAATTCTCCTTTCCAACTAGGGTCCCTGACCCCATGACCCCGGCCTTTGCTGATGAACTCTAGATGTGCCCCCGAGTTCAGATCCTGTTTCCAGCAGCCTGCGGCCCCTTTTCTCAAAACTTTAAAGCGCTTCAACTTCTCCTGTAGCTGAAATCGTCAGTGTCAATTCTTAAACCCGCTCTCTACCCTTGTTCCATCTCAGTGTGTGGCATCACATAAACTGGCAGACCCTGCATCACCCTGGGGTACCCGCCTTCTATCTTGTTTGCTTTCCAGTATCACCAAGTCCCGTCTGTCTCACCTAGCATGCAATGCTTTTATCTGTCCCTTTCCCACATTCCTATGGCCACCACCAACAGGTTCCGGTTACAAACCAGGAGACTTTTCAGTCTCCCTGATGCTGAGGTCTTTGATCTCAGCGCTCCACCCCCAGAGCACACCTGTGTCATTTCATACCTTTGTGGTTCCTCATAACTCCTAGAGCTGAGTCAAAGTCCCTTAACGGGGCATCCAGTTTTAAACTTCCTGATATGTGGTCTCACTCTACTCGTGTGACACATCTCTGCACTCAACCTACCTCAACCCCTTTTACCAGTAGACCAAGTACTTTACAGATGTTGAAGAGTCCACTTTCCCTTATGAGACTCTGTTTGCCTGTAGCCTGTTGTTTATAGGGTTCTCGGATCATCATGGTGATTATAGGATTGCGTGGAGGTCACGTACTGGGCCTGGTCCCTGGGTCATGGTATGTGGTTACTAAATTGTAGTGTGTGCTGTTATGGTGCCAGTTACACCCACCCTGCTCAGCCGTAACGTTCTGCCCAGCCCACCAGATCTGTGTCATCCGAGCATGCCACTGGAGGTTTCCAGATGTCTTGGACAAGTGGATATATGATCACTTAAAATTTTTAATAGTTATGAGTTTATTTTAATATTTATTTTGTGAAAACAAGGAGCTAAAAAGAATTACCTAAAATAAAAGTACTAACTTAGGAGTACTCAGGCTGGTGCAATTCATGGGCAGCCAAATGGTTGAGTACTAGAAATCCTGCTCTAGATGGTCAGCTCTGTGTGATGTGGATTGGGCCTTAGCACTGAGTCCTTCCTCACTAAATAGCTTCCAGGTAACATCTGTGGAATTGTCTGGCACTGATTGACCCAAAGGAAGGGGACCTGAGCCTGATCCCCTCCCTTCCCGGAGGCAATCTCATTGCCCTGTGCAGGTGAAGCTCTCCAGAGGTGGAGTCCACAGCCTGCTCTCTGGTCCTGACCCGTAGCCCCCAGTGTGCTGTGGGCCATGGGATGACGCCAGGCAGCACTATTGTTCTCACATTGTCTGAGGAAAAAGCCAAATGTTTGTGCCTTAAGTTTAAGTGATGTTTTACAAGGACTTTGGAGAGACCAGCAGCCAGCAGCTGGGCTGCAGGTGGAGGAGAAAGGAAAGAGAGGGAGGAGGCAGCAGGAGGGGCTGCTGGGTGACTGCTAGGACTTGCTGGGCAGGGAGAGGAGACTGAAGCTCTTGATTTGTGCACAGCAAAGAACAGCTTCTGGGCCCTGTGCTGGCTCCCATGATACCTGTCTAGGGGACACCCCAAGTCATGCCAGGGTTTTCCACCAGGGAGGACACTGCAATCTGGCTGGAGGAAGGAGAAGCTGAATTTGCATAGAGTACATCTGTAGTCTCCTTGGTTTGAGTATTCATTCAGGAGCAGCTTTTAGGAGGGGCAGACAGAGACCAGGAATGGGCTGAGACCTGCTCTCTCCCCCAGGACCAGGATCTGTTGCTAATGCAGGCAGAGTTGGGTGAGAGCCATCAGCTGGTTCTGTAGCAGGATTCCAGGAAGAGCACCTCTCCCAGTCTCCAAATACCTCCTCTATCCCTGCAGCAGGTCCCAAGCTACCTACCGCTGGGATAATTTAAGCTAAGGCATTCTCCGTTGAAAGTTTTTTCAAAACTGGTATCACACAGAACATCACGTTGAGCAGAGAACAGTACATGGTGACCAACCTTTCCCTAGCAGGTCCCAGGTAAGAGACAGCTTTGCAAGGCAGAAACATGCTTTTGGAGTCAGAGTGGGGTTGGGATTCTGGTTCTACCCCACTCAAGGTGAAAGATGCAGGACCCATTTTAGAGCTCACAGCCAGTAGGAAAAGTGGCTAAAATAGTTTGCTAAAATACTGATCTCAGAGGGACTTGAAGGGATGAGACAGGGGATTTTGCAAATCCACACCTAAGCACCAGGAGAGCTGCTCCAGTATCAATGCCTTGTCTGCTTTCCCACAGGATGGCACACACAGAGACAGCACCCTTTCTGATGCATCTTCTATGTCCAGGCTTCTAGGCGGGAACCTACTGTTATGGGTTGAATTATGCCCTGCAGGATGATGTGTTGAAGTATTAACATCTAGTGCTGCAGAAATGACCTTATTTAGAAATAGGGTCTTTACAGAGACAATCAAGTTAAAACAAAGTCATTGGTGTGAGCCCTAATCCAATATGACCGTGTCCTTATTACAGGAGAAGTTTGGACACAGAGGGACCATGATATGAAGACACACAGGGTACATGCCATTTGAGGGGAACTGAAGAGAGGCACCCCCAAGCCGAGGAAACTGAGCCTCCCAGGCGCTGGGTGAGAGGTTTGGAACTTCCTTCTCTATTCCTTTTCTATCACCTGTGGACCCCCTTAGTTTTGGACTTCTGTTCTCCAGAACTGAGAGACAATAAATTCCTGTTCGTTTCAGCAGCTCAGTTTGCAGTACTTTGTTAGGGCACCCCCATATGAAATGAAAGCACCCACTCTCCCTAGCCATGTTCAAGACTTAAAGATAAAATCCCAGATCGTCCTCATAGCCCAAAGTCTAGCAGGTTCTGCAGCTGCTGGTGACAGGTCCCTCTCAGCTCTGGTGTCTGTGGACAGTGCATGTGTGGTGACGTCTGTGTGGAGATGAATGAATCGACCCTCATGGAGAACTGCTCCCCTGCTGGGACATGGGGATCCTGATGGAGCAGGGATGGCACTGACCCCTTTGATGGATGAGTAGGGAACAGGAAAAACCTGGGCTTTGAGTGTAGGCGAGAGCTAGTGAGGACCTGACTGGAGGTGTGAAAAGGCAGAAAAAAGACAAAATCTGACATGTTTTTACCCTTGCTTTGACTCTGCACCAGACCTTGAAACCATCTTTGGGAAGACACAGCAGGGGTCTAGGTGGGGCAGCCAGGGCTGGGGTCACTGAGAGCTATGTTCTGGCTCTGGCATGCATGACCACCAGCTTTGTGTCTTCATCTCATAGGTTATTCCTACATCTGCAATTCTGGGAA